TTGCCTTGTCAGAACACCGTTATCACCTCACTTGTTGTACACACTTTGTCATACTCTTGTCTTGTCATTCTGGCACCTTTTTAGGAGATCCAACCAAACGTTGCCATGTGTCCCAACAGAGGGTTAAGTCAGCTGGCAGGAGAGAAAACATATCATTACCATATCTTTGCCTTTGAAGAGAGAGAAGCTCTAGGAAAATGAAAAATGAGTCTTAGAGTGAGAACAAATTTTCAAGCTTGATCCTTAGAGTTCGAACCGTTTGATTCGTGTTTTGAGGTTAGATTTTTGATCTACTCTTGTTGTTCTTTACATTGATATGATCACATTGCATGATCTAGCATGATTCATGAGCCATGCATTGATTTAAAGTTTGTTTTAGAGAGAGAAAGTGATGTTCTTGTGTTCTTCAAGAAAAGTCATGTTTTGATCCAAAAGTTTGTAACAAGTTCCATGTTTTGTGTTTGTTTTCATGAAATCTTCAACTATGGGTACCCAGGTCCATGTTTTTGAACTCGTAACATGAAATCTCATATTTGAATAAGAAGTTATGATTTTAGCATTCATGTTCTTTATGTTCATGTTCTTCAAGAGGAAACCTAGATTTCCAGACTTCATTTGCCTAAGTGTGGTCACTGAGACCCACTTTTGCCTAGACCTCACACCTAGGCTAAGCATCGTATCTCACCTTGGCCTACCTTGCATGATCACTTGCACCTTAGCCTATCTTGCATGCATACCTAGGCCAACCACCACACACTTAGGCCGACCATAGTACACCCTTGCCGGCACCTTGTAACATCTCGGCAGGTAGCCGTACACTTAGGCCTAGGAGACCATACCTCGGCCAAGATATCCTGAGTTCACCCTGCTAGGCCATTTTAGCCTAGATCATCTCTGTGCATCCATTCCAAGACCTGATTGGTACCTAGCATGTTTTCCCTAGAAGAAAAACAGTGTTTTGACTCGCAGCACATGTTTTGCTTTGTCTTGACTTGGTTTTGGAAAGAAATGTTGGGATCATTTTCATTCATGTAAAGCTTGTTTTAAGAATGCATTACACAACCATCTTTGAGCATTCCTTCTTGTCTTCTTGAAATGCATTCAGTGGACTTTGTCATGTATTTGTAGGTCTTGGATTCTTGCCTTAAACCCTACATCCAAAGAACTATTGTGAGTGGTATTTTTAATAAAGCTATGTTATAAAGTTTTGATAAAACTTTGCTTCGTTTTGGAAAAGTATTTGATCAAGCATGAATGATTATCCTTTAGTTTTTGTATCAAGTATTATGTTTGTTTTGATGACATTCTTGGAAAGTCCTTAGTGCTAGGGGACTATAATGCAACTAGTACCCTTGTTTGAGATATCTCCCCTGCCACCGACGGTCTTGTACAGGTGGGTTTGTCTAATCGATTCCGAGTCGATTATTCCCTTGTTTTGTCAGAAATGTCATCCCTTGTATTATGTTGATACTAGTAAGCATCCCTTGGAGCTTTGAAAGACTTTGATAGATGAACTTGGTTCATCCCTTGATTTTGTACAAGTTATGATATGTATTGTTTTGATAAAGATCTCGGATATCATTCATTCAAACATTTATTACTTATATCATTCACTGAGTATCCAAGCTCACCCTCTCCTTTATATATATGTAGGTGATGAGTAAGAAGGTTATGTCGCCTAAGATGTTATTTGCAAGATGTTTTGGATTCGTGTTTTGTTAGCATCTTGAAGATTATGCTTCTTAGCTTGTAGTTCATGTCTTTTGTATATTTCGGCTTGAGAAGCCTTTTGATCAAGATGTAATATTTAGTTTTAATTCATTAGTATGCAAGATGTAAAACCATGTTAAGATGTATAACATTTCATTTGATCTATGCACAGCTCTTGTGGACTACTTAGATTTAAATTTGCTTCTGCACATGTAAGCCCCACATGGATACTCTGATTATGTGAATCTTTGTAAGTTGGCCTTTGGTAATCTTGGATTACTGGCCATCATGGTACCATTCTACTAGGGGCGGAATGGGGTCGTGACAAATGCACACTCATAGCTATCCCTAACTTGTAGGATATTCATATACACTCACCACCACCAAAAGGGAAGGAGTAAAGGATAGCAAACGCCAAAAGATTTGAGAAGCATGTTTGGTATAATCCACCTAATGATTGGAAATCCCAACTTCCTCCCTTCAAGATGAAGCAATTCTACAAACTACAACATCAATATGGCCCTTTCAAATTATTTAATAGACTTTGATATTGTCTCTTCAATCTTCCTCAGTCAAAAACAATTTAGTACTATAATTTTCTTGTTTTAGTAATAAAGATGCATCACATTAAAATAGATTTTTTGATACAATGGATAAGGGCTTTAAATACATACAGAATCAATGAGCAACCATACATGAAAATACATACACAATCAATGGATTAGGACTTTCAAACTAATAAGAGAGAAAGGAAAAAGACGGGAAAAAGTATCAAACCATTAAAATCAAACCCATTTAGGACATCAAACCCATAAAACTTTAGAAATCAAACCACTTCCATTAAATCCATTTTTCGAAATCAGCATGAAATTAAACTAAAGAAATCATAAAAATCCAAGAGCAAGATTTAGAAAGGGAGAAATGGAAAAAGAGGGGCAGAGAGAGAGAGAGAGAGAGAGAGAACGAGAACCTATGAGGATGCGGTGATGCCAGTGGTGATTTGCGGCGGTGACGGTGGCAAGTGACGGTGGTCTGCGCTGAAGTGAGGTGGGGTGAGGTTTAGTGGTTACAGAGAATTTGTGTGTGAGACAGAGAACAATCGGATGTCAAAACATAGAACAGGGCGCCAATATTAATTCATTTCCTTCTAAAATGAATTATACCTTTAGCGACTAAACTAGTTAATCGACAAATAGTAATATACAATGACTAACAATTTTGTAGCCAGCTCTTAATTTTTAGCTATTAAATTATTAGTCACCAAAACTTGTAATTTGGCGACTAATTGTTTTTTTTTTTTGGTCGGAAAAAATTGAGTAAACCACGACTAAATTTGTTTTCGTCACCAAAAGTGAATATTTGTCGACTAATTTTTTGGTAGCCAAAGAGTAATAGTAAAAATATGGCTGTTATTTGGCGACTAAACTTTTTTTTGTCAGCAATAATTAGTATACAACAGCTAAAACCACATTTAGTAACCTAAAATCTACACTTATATGGACTAATATTTTTTTAGTAGCCAAAATGTGGCATATTCAGTTACTAAATTTTTTTTTAGTCGCCAATAAGTAAAATATCTTGACTAAAAAAATTTAGTAGCTACAACCTAAGCAAACACCAACTAATACATTTTTTAGTGGTCAAAAAGTTAACTTTTGGCGACTAAGGCCTTGTTTGTCATAACTTAAAAAAGTCAAAAAGTCAAAAAGTTACTATCCTATTTAAATCACATCATCTTATTTAAATCACATCACCTCTCTACAACATTATTTCAAACTCAACCCATACTCAATCTATATTTCATAAAAAGTCAAAAAGTATATTTATTTAAATCATCTCAAACCACCATCAAATTCCTTTTAGTAGCTAAATCTAATCGCCAAAAGTGTAAATTATTGTAGTGTTTTCTGGATAATTTTTTGAAAAATGTAGAGTTATTGCTTGGTTATTCAGAAAATTTGAAAAAAAATTCAAAACCTCTTTTTTGGATTTTATTCTGTATGTGACGTGAATAGGAAGCACGGGTGCGGGTACGAGTACGGTACGGGTACGAGTGCGGGTACGCCGATTCGGCAAAACTCAAAAAAAGTACGATACGGGTACGGCTACGGTACGCCGATATTTTTTTTTTTAAATATAATTTTGATTAAAGGATCCAACCTACAAATTAAAATTAAATATCAAAACTAAAAAAAGAACTACTCATTTTCCTATAATTTAAAACCATTAAGCGTTAAAAATAATATTTGTGAAATCTCTCACTTTGATATGTTATGCACTGTGAATTTGTGATCATAATTTATTTTTAAAATCTTTCTTTTTGCTCATCCATTTGCTATTTTTATAGGGTGAGACCAAAGAAATAACAGGAGACCAAAGAAAGATTTAAAGTTAATTACCAACAATAAAGGAAAAAAATTCTCAATTGGTGCAGGTTGTCAATTGCAATTTGCATAATACATAAAATTGCATCATTCCCAACAACTACTAATCAACTAATACAGTATCAATTTTTAAAGTTTTGTGCATAAACTTTAAAAGTTTGTTATGATTAAAGATTTTATAAAGAAATTCTAGGAGGATCTAAAGCAAAAGCATAATGCATAGTCATACACAGAACTACCCTTTATAGGCCTTGTTATTTTTTTTGGTTCAAATTGCTTTTTAAAAACATTAAAATCATTTGTTGATATGCTTCTACAATTTATACAGACAAACAGGACAACAGAGAAACATCAAAATTACTGATCTGCTTTGACTTTTTGGTATGGGTTGTTGGCTTTTTGACTAATTTAGTAACTTTTTGGCTAATTGACTAAAATAGCCTCTTGCCAAACGAGGCCTTATTGTAGTGTTTTCTGGATAATTTTTTGAAAAATGTAGAGTTATTGCTTGGTTATTAGAAAATTTGAAAAACAAATTCAAAACCTCTTTTTTGGATTTTATTCTGTATGTGACGTGAATAGATAGAACACACCAGTACACTCTACTACTCTATTTCTAAATTGACCCTTCCTATTGCTTTTTTTTATTGGCATGTTTGATAGAATTGTGGGAAAGTACTTATATCTTATGTCTAAACAGTTTATAACTTATAATTATGAACATAAGTTGATTTTTTACTTATAAATTAAGCATCTCCTCTCCTACTTAAAGAATAAGCTGATTTCTGACTTACAAAAAACTATAAGCTACATTATTAAACTAAACCAAACACATCAAAATAACTTAAATTAAGCTAAAAACTGAAATAAACAACTTTTAAGCTACACCAAACAGGCACGTTATCTTCACCAAACCATTTCAAGACTTGGCTTTAGTTGCTATGCCAAGGTCGGCAACACTGGAGCAACGACTCAGGCCAGCGACCAAGATGCTATTCAAGCGTGGCCAATTCGAGCTGTGGGTTACAAAGATCAGACAACAATGAGGTTAGACATTTGGATTCTTCTTGATCATTTTTTCATTTCATCTCCATTTTTCCTTTGGATTTTGATTTTCATTCTTCTTTATCATGTTGTAACCAAATCAAATTTCTCCAAGAAGATCAAGGTTTTCTAGATTGATTTCGAACAAAATCAAACTTTGATTTTGAAGATGAAGTTTCTGGATTAACCTCAAAATTATGTGGTTTGATTTTGGAACCATATCCCTAGTTTAATCTCAAAATCCCTTTCAGCATACAAATCAATGTTTTGCGGTTTGATTTCAGAAATTAATTTCAGCATTTTCAAACCAAATGCAAGTTTCTGAGTTACTAGTTTTGTGGTTTCAATTTCGGAAATTAAGTTTAGCATTTTTTTTAACCAAATGTAGATTTTCAGAGCTACAGATTTTCTGGCTTTTATTTCGAAAATTAAGTTCATCATTTTCGAACCAAATCAAAGTTTCCCCTTTCGGTTTGTGGATTCGATTTCGGAAATTAAGTTCAACATTTTTCGAACCAAAAGTAGATTTTTTGAGCTACTGGTTTTGTGGTTTTTATTTCGAAAACTAAGTTCATCATTCTTCATGCGAAATGCAGATTTTCCGAGCTATAGGTATTTTGGTTTTTATTTCGAAAATTAACTTCATCGTTTTTGAACCAAATCAAAATTTCTCCTTTCGATTTTGCAGTTTAAATTTCGATTCGTCGTCATTATTTTCGAACCAAATCTCCATTTTTTTGAGCTTTATTTCTTCTTCTCTTCCTTATTGATGTAGTGAAACCTTCAATTTCTTGTGGCCGGTTCGATCTCCGCTATATGAGGAGTAGAGAGGAAATGAGTAAGTTTTGTAAACCCTTGTAATTGTATTCTATTATTTGTATTTGAATTCATTTGATCTTGGGTTTGAATTCATTACACACTATATTCTTATGGTCCTTACACACTATTCTTATGTCTGGATGTGCATTTGATTAATTTATTATTTTTAGATTTTTGAAATATTCTTTGGCATGTGAATTGGATTCAACATCCATTGCATCATTTCACTTGAAGTTCTACATTTTGTATTTATTTATGCTGATTTTTTACTAAGTCCTTTGAAGAAGGATTTGTCATTTGAATAACTGTGTTACCCCAATTATTTGGTGCCAGCAGTTGGGATCATGTTCATACCTATTGTAAATCCATGTTTTCTAATGTGTGCTAAATGTGTTCCTAGTTTTTGCATGGTATTTTTCCTATCTTCACCTTTATATCATATCTGACTTATATCCTTGTTAGGTCTTGTTATTGATTGATTTTATGGTGATGGTTCCATGCACACGAACTTAGAAAATGATATCAAAGCATTCCTTGTGGAGGAACTGTAATCGAAGCTTTTGATATTATTCTCTGTTTTTTGGGGATCATTTTGTCTTGATTTTATATCAAGTTAGCTTTGCCCTTATAAAATTACAAGTGACTAATTTGTCAGTAATCAATGTCATTGCTAAGTTTATAATGGTGTTAGGCTAGTTTTCTTTCTAATAAGTTGTTGGCCTTTCACAATTGACCAGAATATTAGGCTTTTGATCATGATTAGTCCCTTTTTCTATTGGCTTCTTTTTAGATCAACCAAACAAGAACAAAGAGATGGCAGTGTTTCTGATTGATAATGTTTTTGAAATGTAATTCTTGATTTGAATTTATTTGTATATTGTATTGTCTTATTCCAATTTGATCAACTTTAACCATTCTGTGATTTTAATGATATGCTCATACTAATAAAGTGTAAAGCACCATTTTCTTAGTCTGTGCACTGTGCTTTTAAATTGTTCCACCTTCTCATTATAATTTCAAATGTCTTTGGCCAAATTAGTTCTTCATACAACGTTATTTCATTTGAATTTTGGATTGTATAATTAATGTTGCATCATCCATGCTTACTATCTAACAACCATATATTTATATTAAAAATTAGTGTACCTTTCAATGTTATGCAGTTCATGATTTATGAAAATTAAAGAATGTCTTTACTATCCACTGGAATGGAAAATTAAGGAATTAAAAAATATGGTTGCAGTTAATGAGTTTTATAATTTTTGTCTTTCAAAGTTACTTTCCTCTCAAATATTTTCCTGGCATGGTCCACAATATCAAATTATTTAAATGCTGATTTAAGTTTATTCATGGTTCTTTAATTGCGATTTGTCACGTTTTCAGTAAGTACAAAAATAAAAATCATAGTCACAAGTCTCCACATATGCTGCTATTTATGCCTTATTTATATGACTACCATACTATTGTTCATAGCCTTCGATGTGCAAATAAAATTGAAGGATGCAAAGCTTTGATGCTCTTGTACCTCTGTCACATTCTTCGTAAAATTTAACTTGTTCTTTGTCCAACAAAAAAGCGAATTTAAATTGAGAACATGGCTTTGGAAATACTTAATTCAAAACAAACAAAATAAACAAACAAAGAAAAAGCAGGACTCTAGAAAATGTTAGACTAAAAGGCAGTGTGATTTAATAACATGCTTTTTCCTTATCTGATTTTGGTTACTTTACCATTCATTACTTCATATCTGCTTATGATAAAGTCCACTATACAGTTCATTTCCCAAAAACCCAATTTCGTGAAGAAGCTTTGAAGAACAAATAAAAGACAAGAGAACCACCTACCTACATTCCATCTTTTTGTGGTGAAAACGATGTCGAGGTATGTTCCTCCACTCAACTTTATAAATGTTAGGGCTTACAAGTTTTACAATAAAGGATGGCATTCTTCATTGTGACATTTGACCGGATGTTTTTTTAATAGTTAGAATACAAACATGTTGTTCAATAAGTGGTTAGCAACACATACACAAGATAACCGTATTTTAGCCATGTCAATTAAATTTTGTACAACTGCTGCAAGTTATGCTCCTTTTATAGTTGAAATGTGCAATACTATTACAGTATGTAGAAAAATAATTTGTTTTATGCCTCAATTTTGTCTACAATCAAATGTTGTTTCGTTACAAATTCAACAAGTTTTCATTCGTGCATAAATTTATCGCCGACATTTCTTTTAAAATTTTGAGAATTGTATGTTTAGAAACTAAGACCTCATGACTGAATTAAACCCATCAGTTTTGGGGCTATCATATAAGGATTGGTGCATGTATTTCATAGATGGACAGTGATGATGCACAAGAGTTGAAGTTGTGGCCAAGCAAGATTGAGTTGGCCTTCATACAAATCATGGTGGAAGAGGTGAAGCAAGATCCTTCCTTAACTAGGAAAAACTATTTCACTACAAGGCATTGGAGTCGGATTGACGATGAGATGTACAAGCAGTTTAAAGTTAAGTACACAATTAGTCGTTCAAAGCAAAAGTACTAACGCATCAGGCAATCCTACAATACCTTTGTCAAATTGAAGAACCATACGAGATTTGGATGGGATGACCAGAGAAAAAGAGTCACGGCCCCTGATGACATTTGGGATCAATATGTTAAGGTAATTACCGCTACCTTAGACTTGAGTACAAATTTCCTAGTGCACTTCGTTAAATACAAATTAATTCTTTACCACATCTTTGGCTGTCATACTTTTGTAGGTGCATCCCAAAGCTAAATTTTTTAGGGAAAAACGACTAGATAACATGGACTTGTTAGATGTCCTGTTTGCAAATTCCCAAGCCACTGGTGCACTTGCTTGTATTTCAACCCAAGGACCCCCAACCTCTGATGAAGAAAGGGATATTCAAAGTGCATTCTTTGGTGTTGGTATCAATTGTACTACCAAATCTTTTCATGCTGATGATGAAATTGAAGGAGATGATAACCCCAAGGTGGGTAGGAGTGGCGGTAATGATGGTGGGCGAAAGGGCGCACACATGGATTTGGCACTCGATGCATGGACTGCCACAAATCTTGCAAAAAAAGAATTTTATATGGTAAGGAGCAAAATGTCTGAAGCGAGTGAAGCCGACAAGAATCGGTACTCCATCGATGCATGTATGGACTATTTAGCAACAATGGAAGGAATCAATCCCGGCCAATATGTAAAGCCATGTGAGAGCTTCCGCGATAAACAAACTAGAAAAATGTTCATCAGGATGCCTCCAATATAAAGATGCATTGGGGTTCTTAAGTCAGCTTAGGAATGAACTTCAAAAATGGCTGCAATTTTGTCTTGTTGTGTAATGCCTCGAAATAATTAACATTAACCTATCTCATAATAGTGCTACAATTGATCAACAATCTCATAACTTCTATTCATTATATCTTTGATCATTACAAAAAATGACATGCAATATATATTCACAAATCCTAGATTCTGAATCTATAGCATATGGCATGGACACAAGTGTAAAAAAAGAAATAAAACCAAGTAATGAAATGCCTTAATGGTTACAATTATCCAAGACGATATTTGGTTATAACAAATTGAGCTTAAACTCAATACAAGTAAAGCCTTAGGCTTAAACAAAGATAATTACATCAAGAAATCAAAAATGAAGCCTTAAGCTCTAAGTCCTCCCAAGCTACATCCTTGGTGGAGGTATATCATCAGCACTTGAAAGTTGTTATCCACATAAGGTGAGCCACAGTCCAGTAGAGATACTCTAACACAGTATATGAATCTTAGCAAAAGTATAAGGTGAATGCACATGCGTGCCATTTGTCAAACATTCCTCGTTTTCCATCCCAAAATAATGCAATGCCAAATTATATATCAATTCATGAAAATAATCCTTCTGTACAAAAAAACAGAGTAGTGGATACAACACACTGGGAATCTCTAAGTACATATCTGTCAGTAGGCTATACAAGCACTATCAAAGCCATTTTACCTGTATTAACCAGAAGGATCGCCACCTAACCGCGCGGGTTTCTGGACTTTCACCAAGGACACACCAGCCAACATAATAAAACCACAATCACGCCTCCTAACTAGATTTACCACGGTATTTACCCATTTTTCTCAAAATTAATACATTTACAATGTTCAATATGAAATGATGCTCAATGTACAATGTAGGAGAAATTAGTTTTAATTCAACCTAATCCTCATGCAATGTTTACAACAATCAAGAGTATTCTCCACCGATAGTCCAAAACAGATATTTCTATTCAATAGATAATTCCCAATCAAAATATACAATTTCATAAATTATAATATGAGTGATACTACATATCCAACTCCATCATCATCGTCATGAACATTGTTCTAATTTCACAATACCTAACATAATTTTCCATTTCCCTTCACAATTCCAAACATCCAAAATTTGGGGCAAAAACCCCTTTTGTTACAAAATCAATTTTAAGAAAAGATATCTATCATTTTAACAAAGCTCAACCATGGCCATATCCCCCACAACCATTTTCAAAAACCCATTTGGAAAATCCTTCTTTTGATTTCAAACTCAAACTCTAGGTTTTTCCAAAAATTTCCAAATCATTAACCTTTTTCAAAGGGCAAATAACTAAGTTAAAAATCATATAAAAGAGTCAAAAAAACCCTTACCTCAAAAGTAGTAAATAATAAGAAATGATGGGTAGAACTTGATAGAGCCAAAAACACAAACTTCTTTGATTAAAATGAAACCATCAACGTACTCAATGATTTTCTCTAAAGGACTCGGGTGAAGAGATCAATGGATTAAGAGTATTTTGAGCTAGAAATAAGAGCTAGAGAGAGAATGAAGGTTTTTGGGGTTTTGAAATGTTTAGAGAGAGAAGAAGAAGAAAAAGTGACTCAAAATGGCCCTCTTTGGGATTGATATATGCACAGACCGCTCGACCGGCCAAAATACCGCTCGAGCAAACAGACATGATACGTGACACCGCTCGAATGACCAAAACCACCGCCCGAGTGCACAATAACCCCCTTCTAATTGTTCAAACCTGCAAAAGATCGCTCGAGCGCAAGAAAGACCGCTTGAGCAAAGATATCAAACTTTCAGTAGTTTTGCAGATTGTAAATGACTACACGAGTGCAGGAATGGTCGTTCGAGCGAACAAGCCAAAATCTGGGCAATAACTCTTTGAAAAACTAACCCCCCAACCTGTTTCAAACACTACCAAAACTCCCAATAGCCAAACTCAAGACTAACAAGATGAAAATGAGATGAGCAATAGCTAAATACATGGGTTTTCGGATTCGAAAGCAACAAATGGGTCAAGTCAAAACTAGAATTGTTATAATCTCCCCTCGTTTAAGGAATTTCGTCCTCGAAATTTAAGATCAACAACAAACGTTGAAAGTATAACAAATCATATGCCATCTAGGCTTGTAACAAGGATACACTGAGTTTTTCAACATGAACAATTACTATTCAATTCTTCAAAACATATACAATGTTCTTATGTATATATATATATTACAACGTATATAAAAGTTTCAACACAAGTCTCAAATATCAACAAGTAAGTTCGAATACTTCTCACGGACTTCTACCTCATGCTCCTAAGTCACTTCCTCAACCCCGTGGTGTTGCCAGAACACCTTAACCAATAGAATAGTCTTGCCTCGCAAAACTTGGTCCTGTGAGTCTAGAACTCACACCAGTCTCTCCTCATACAAGGCATCTTTGTCTACGTCCAACTCTGTTCAATCTAACACATGTAAAGGATTCGGCTTGTACTTCCGGAGAATACAAATATGGAACATGTCATGAACCTCGAAAAGTTGTGGTGGCAAGGCCAAACGGCAAGCTACCTCCCCGATCCGTTCTAGTATCTCAAAAGGCCCAATAAATCTAGGGGATAACTTCCCGCTCTTTCCAAATCTCATCAAATCCCGTCTCAGTAATATCTTCAGGAATACGTGATCTCCTATCTCAAAAGATAAAGGTCTCCTCTTACGTCGGCATAGCTCTTTTGGCGACTTTGAGCCAAAACCAATCTCTCACGAATAAGTACGACTTTCTCTGTTGTTTCTCGAACTAATTCAGGACCTAACATAAGTGTTTCACTCACCTTGGCCCAACACACTAGATATCTATATGGTCAGCCATACAAGGCCTCAAACGGTGTCATACCAATACTTGCCTGAGAACTGTTATTATAGGCAAACTCCACTAAAGGTAAATGCCTCTTCCACGACCCTTTAAAATCAAGAACACAACCCCGAAGTATGTCTTCTAAGATTTGAATGGTTTACTCGAATTTTCTGTCAGTTTGAGGATGATAGGCGGTGCTAAACGTCAATCTAGTGGCCAAGGCATTCTATAGGCTCTGCCACAATCGAGCCGTGAAACGAGGATTTTTATTTGAAATGATAGTCACAGGGACCCCATGAAGTTGAACTATGTCCCTAACATAAAGGTCGGCAAAATAATCTACTGAGTCACTCATGCGCATAGGTACAAAATGTGATGATTTAGTTAACAGGTTGACTATTATCCACAAGGCATCATTACTCTATTGAATCCTCGAAAAGCCCACAACAAAATCTATCGTGACATGTTCCCACTTTCACTCGGCTATAGGTAAGGGTTGTACCAAACCCGCAGGTCGTTGGTGCTCGACCTTCACTTGTTGACAAGTAAGGCACTGATTGAGGCTGAATTGTACAACATTGAGGCCGGTAACTAGGATCTCTCAACCTTACTTGCCAGCCAAATTGTTTATTTTATGTTTGCTTAATACCAATTAGGTTGGATGCATTAGAGCAAAAAATGAGCAAAAATCAATATTTTTAGCAAAAAATGCTTCACATACGTGCGGAGGACCATTCCTGCACGTGCAACCCATCCATCGCAGCCAAATAGGACCTATGAAAATCATACATGTGGAGGCCCATTCCCCGCACGTACGAAACCCTTGCCGCACGTGCAGTGGCATTTCCTGCACGTGCGGCCATACCTCGAAAAATGTGCCCGTTGTTTGGAATTGTTTGAAAGAGCTAGAAGTATAAAAAGACAGAAAAAAAGGTTGGATTAGGGTCCGAAATATTTCAAAAGAGAGGGGGGCTAGGGTTTGGAAATAAGGGTTCTCAAGCTTCAAGAACATCTTTCATGGGCGTTTCTTCTTCTATCATCTCCTCTCACTCCTCCATGAGTGGCTAGGCTTCTATTTCTAGGGTTTTGATGAAACATTAGCCAAGTAAATAAGGTTTTCTTTTTGATTTTGATTATGTAATGGTTTGAACAAGTTGTATGGTATTCAAGAAGTTTTTAAATATACTTTCCATTATTTCTTTCAAGCGTTGTACTTTCCGTGATTGTTGAATATTCTCCATGCAATGGTTTTCTTTTCTTTCACATTCAAGGTATGCGACGAGCCATTCTACAAGGGATGAGTTGTATTGCTACCCTAGTTTAGAGTGAACGACTCATGTTACTTGAGATGGTTCGTGCCTATACATTGAACGTGATAATTCTCTTGATCAATGCTTTGGACTTGTAGTTGCGAAGTATTATTTGGTTCGAACTGTGACATAATTGATTTTCAAATTGAGACTTTATTTATGTAACTAGTGGTGAATTCATTACCCTAGGTTTTTCCAAGAATCATAACTTCATCTTTACTTTTAATTGCTAGTTTAATATCTTCATTTATTTTAATTATCATTAGTTTATGAACAATCATCTCTTTGATGAAAATTAATTCAGAAATTTTAACAATTAAATTAGTTTAATTTCACATTTGTCCCTGTGGATCGATACTTGGACTTACCATTATTATAAGGAATTTGGTATAGTTTAGTGTTTATTTTTTATGTGTGAAACGGCTCACCAAATTTTGGCACCGTTAGTGAAATTAATTAATTTAAAATTATATTCTTATTTTAATTCTTAGTTTAGGGTTTTATATTTTCGTGTTGCTAAGTGTGCAGAGTTTTTGCAAGTGGAGCTATCATCGAAGTGTAAGCAGAGTGCAACCAAGCTTTGCAAAAAATAAATAAAAACAACCGCAGAATTGAAGTGCTTAAACAAAAAGAAAAAAAAAAAGAAAAGAAAAGAAAAGAAGAACAAGAACAAGCAAATACTCGCAAGTAAAGCACCAAAATATTAAAAATAGAGAGCTCAAGTGGAGATTGGAGATAACGATCTACACATCAAGCACCCGCAAGACGAGTAAAGAGTTTTTGTTAAATCGCTGTGAGTATTTTATCTTTTGTTATTTTTCTGTCATAACTTAGTGCACAAGAGTCAGAATTTAGTGTGTGTGTGTGTGGTGTATGCACGAGCGTTGTTCTTGCCGTCCTAAATTGTGGAGTTTGAACCTTAAACTAGAAAGGACTCTTAGAA